AATAATAATATTCTAAGATAATAAATAATAAATAATAAATAATAAAATAATAAACTAATAATTAATTCGTTCTATAACAATGTCTTTAAAAAAAAAACTGCGGCTAAATTTTTTTTTTTTTTTGACTTTTAATAATATTTCTCGACAACCAGCTATTCAAATTCATTAAAAATTTTTTTTTATTTTAACTCTATTTATTCATAGAGTTAAAATCAAAAAAATTTGATCGAATTTGACCAGGTAAGTGCCGAGTAATCTTCGTTCAAAATTTAAAAAAGAAGTTGTAGCCAAATTTTTCTTAATCTTTTAATGAATATTTCTCGACAACCATTTATTCAAATTCGATTAAAATTTATTTATTTTAATTCTATGAATCACAGAATTAAAATAGAAAAAATTTCATCAAATTTGAATAGTTGGTTGTTGAGAAAGCATCGTTTAAAGTTCAAAGAAAGAAAGCTTACCGATTTCAGTTTTTAAGATATTTTAAGTTTTTTAAAACTTTTCACCATGATTTCTCAACAACTACGAACCTAAATTCAATAAACTTTTTTTTATTTTAATTATACATTATTATACAATTAAATAAAAATTTTTTTACCAGATTTAATTATGTAATTATTGAAAAACAATCGCTAGAAGATTTAAAAAAGCCTCGAATTTATTAAACAACTTTGTTTACCGGCACAAATAAGTAGATAATAATTCAACTTACAAACTTCAATGTGATCATCAAACCGCAGTATATTGTTCAACAATTTTCTAGAAATTATGCAGGTCCTATCATGTGCCCGTACTTCTGTGGCGAACTCTATACTGTACTACAAAATATTAGATATACGCAGATTAAAGTCATTAAACTTTTCTTCTTAAATATTTTCTATTAAGTGCAATTTGTAAAACTTTAGCCATTAAAATCATTTTGACATCATAAATCAAAAATTTGAAAATTCTATTGGTCAAAATTTAGTAGTTACATAGTGTTATCAGTTATAACAACTCCCAATTAAACAACGAAGAAACATTATTCAATTTTAGTCAATGGACCAGAAAAATAAAGAATTATTGGAAACCTTAAAACAGAGGCAAGAGCAGTACCTGAAAGCTGTATATGCTTTTAAAGATACTGATTACCTACGCGCTAAGGATTTTATGGCCAGCGCGAAAAGTATACAAAATGCAACTTTATCCTTATTAAAAGAAGGTCAATTACCAGTCGGTTTTGTCATGCCCGAAGAACCGAACCTTTCTCAACAAAAAAAAACACGAGCACCAAATCATGCTCAGGTTACACCGAAGAAAAAGACTCAAGTTAATGCAACGCCAACTTCCACTCCTAAAAAAAAAATTGTCACAGCGATCGATAACGCGACAGAAACACATATCGTAAATGAAGATATAACTTCGTTGACCACGGTAAGTAGAAAGGTTTACTACATTTATAAATCATGTCTGTTTACAAAATCAGTTAAGAAAAGTAATTTGAGTACGTTCAAAGATTATTTATATCTCTTTTTATACTGTCTACAAATTAGTTGTCAAAAGAAGATCAGTATGTTAAGTTAATATCTGAGCTAGAAGAACAAATATCCTTATGCACTACGATCTCAGCATATTACCTTAAATCAGGAAACAAAAATCTTGCGACTACTTTTCTTCAATATAAAAAGGCTTTTTCCGCTGATTTAACTTCTTTGAAATCATACCAGAATCATAATAAAGATATTCCACCATTCCATTTTCGGGATGTCAGTTATAATGTTGAAAACGCTTTTTTTGAATTGTCTGCTAATGATATGGAAGTTTGTATTGAAAGGGCATGGAATTTGGGAAACAAAGAGGTTAACGGAAAAGATGTTGATGCTTATGTAAATTGGGATATTGGATGGCCAACCGAAGGTAATCCGGGTGCTGGCAGCGGAAAAGGTGATACATCTGTTGCAAAGAGGGGTATGGATCCAGGTAATAGATCTTTATTATAGATAAAGTGGTTTATGTTTTCACTTCTATTTATTTACTGTTTAATATTATTATTGAATTAGAATTTAGTTATAAAAAAATAATTAGCATAGAACGAACAAAATCATTTCAACGATATATTGATAGGAAAAAAGCTACCTTTGAAGTGTTTCATTATAGAGGATTTTTACGAAGAGCTATTTCTTTAGGAAAAGCTCAAGTAAAATTAGACTCTCTGTCCAGGAAAGCTGAAATTCACGAAGTTCTTGATGTATGTACGTGATATTGTTTATTTATTACCAACAATTGATAAAACTTTTAACATCTTTTTATCAACTTCAACAAATCAGCTTGTGGATGCTAATCGTAGGCCAACAGGTGGCAAGCTAGAAATTCGACTGCGCTTAAGGGTTCCCTTAGTTGGGGCAGATGTTGTACAAAAAACAGAAAAATGGTTGATTATTCATGGTTTCAATACCAATAATCCTAAAACAAATACTCAAGCTTCGGCATCATCACTTGAAGCAACACCTGCTAAATCTACATCTCAATCGGCAACATCCCCCAAGACTCAAACTTCGGCATCATCAATTGAAGTAACTCCCGCTAAATCTACATCTCAACCGGATCCACCGCCATTAAATACTGAAGTAAATGATTTGGATCCCGCTAAATCTACATCTCAGCCGGATCCACCGCCATCAAATACTGAAGTAAATGATTTGGATCCCGCTAAATCTACATCTCGGCCGGATCCACCGCCATCAAATACTGAAGTAAATGATTTGGATCCCGCTAAATCTACATCTCGGCCGGACCCACCGCCATCAAATACTGAAGTAAATGAGTTGGATCTCGCAGAAGAACAATTAAATAAGTATGAAATTTTTTTGTAATGACAACATTTATGCATATATACATTTTATAACAAATTATATAATAACTTTTTTTTTTAGTGCCGATTTAATTGTATCTACTGGTTTGATTCAAGAAGAGATTGAACTTTTAAATTCTCAAATTTTGACATTAGAAGCACAAGGAAAACCTGTCCCTGATGACTTGTTTGACCGAAAGTCTGCACTTGAAATTAAAATGAGTTTGATGGAAATTCAGGTTCAAACTGGTCAATTAACGATCGATCAATATTTGGATCAAGTAAAAGCTAGTATTGCTGATTTCAAAAGATTGGCTTTGATATTCAAGAAAGCTGGTAAAATCGAAGAAGCAAAGAAAGCTCTTGTAAAATGTAAAGTAATGGAAAATGAAGTGAAGCAAATGGAAGAAGCTATGGCTAGCGGTGACGTGGTTGATGATGCATAATTTATTAAAAAATAAATAAATATAAATTTTAATTTTAAATGTTGTAAATTTATAATTTTAAAAAATAATATATATACAGTAAATAATTAAATATATTATTGAAAAATTTTGGCTATCTTATTAAACAGTTTTTAAAATATCAGTCACTCGATATGTCACATGTAAATCTTTTACATATAAAAAACATATTATAAAAGCTTTGATGTTTTTCGATCTACATATTAAAATTTACAATTATAGAGTATGAAAAGAAATTTTATACCTTTGTTCAGTGTTGGGCTGGACAATTGGACATGGACATGGACATTGGACCACACTTGTCCAGTCCAGTCCAATCCATTGAACCAAAAAGTATTGAACAATAATATATAAATCAACATATAATTATTATTGGATATATTAAACTAAACATATATTCAAGTCCAATGTCCAGTTCAGTTTAATAGCATAAAAATAGTTGGATATATGTCTAGTGCCAACACTGGCTCTGTTTTTTTGCATATTTTAAAAATGTAATTTTACCAAAATAAAAATCCATCAATTCTAAAGTGATAATTATATGTAAAAGTATGCTTCAAATAACTTTACTTAGAAAATAAAAGTTAAAAATTCTAGTTTTTTAATATACAACTTTTTTTACTATAATAATTTGCTTTTGTTTTTTAAGTAAAATTGTTTAGCATAAAATTTTACATTTATATACTTTGTTAATTTTTGTTTTTATGAACTTTTTATTAAATGCAAATGAGATTAAAGCTAGAAAAAATTTGATAGAATTTTATTTTTGTACTGCCAGTAATCTAGTTAGAAAAAAAGTTTAAAAATCTAAAAAATTATATATCTAAAAAATTTTTATATACAAAAATCTGATAAATACTGTAGTTTAGTTTGGCAAATTTTTTTTTTATAAAGTTAAAATAAAAATATTTTTTAATTTACTATTTTTGCAATTTTAATATATAGTACAAGTAGTATGACCTGTGGGTTGATAACATAGTGGTTATGCTTCCAGGTTGCAAATTGGAAGGTTGCTAGTTCAATTTCTCCTAGTAGTGAAATAATAAAAAATCAAATATAGAAGTGAAACACCATGGAGTACAGAGAACTTGGAACATTTACAGATAGATGTATTTGAAGAATAGTTATTCCAAGAAGTTGTGGCTATAAAGTGAGATGTGTTAGAATTCTAATTTGGAATAACTAAAGTTACAAGATATAATGTGAGGTTTAAAAGTCCAAAAGGGTACTTTATAAACTTATAGTGCCACCTGATTGGCAGGTGAAATTTCTATTGATCATTAAAAAAGGTGATTCAACCACTTTGGTAATTCGGTGCAGTAGTTGCATTTAGCTACTTAATAAAGTAGAGAGTGAGGTTGGGCTAGAATAACCAGTATAAACTTTCATAGATCCAGTAAGATCAGTGAGTTGTTCAAGTAACATCAGTAGTACAGTATTATCTAATAATAAGGTTGGAACCAGATCTTTTTTTTTTTTTTTTTCTTTGATAACCGCGTACTAAAATTTTATTAAATGTATATTGCTTAATACAAGACCAAGCTACTTTAATAGGAAATTAGACTAAAAGCTAGCTGTCTTTTAAAGATACCCAACCTTGGTTATCGCACTGATGTTGGCCACTATACCCCACATACGGTGTACCGTATCTAAAGATATAATATAGCCGGGGCTCAGCTTCCACCTCAGGACCTCTTTTCCCTTCTAATTCTTCCTTCTTCTCAAAGGGCACAAGACAAAAGGGAGAAAAGTTTAAATTAAAAAACAAATACAAAAATGACCAAAAAGAAAAACAAACAAACAAAAAGAAAAAATAAATACAGATTTCGAAAAAGAAAAAACATAAAAAGAAAACTAAGACCCTAAAAACACTATTATAACCCGTGCAAGGTTGGTAAAAATTATATAACAAATGCAATATTTGTATATCTTTTTTGTAAAGGTAAAGCTCCATCTTGGTATTAAAATTTTTTTTCTGACCTTTCTACCGAGTTCAGATGGCTCTGTTGTCTGAGGACCTATATCAAGGCTACCTTCTGCCATAATTAGAGTTTCCGGGTCGAGTCCTATGCAGTAGCACTATATCCGTCTATAAACAAACATGTAGTTGCAATCTACTAGTCTATCTGAATTTGGGAAGTAAACAATGCCGATCTTTTGGAAGGGGTAAGCCAAATTCCCACTTTTTGTCAAAAAAATTTGGAAGAAAGGCAGGGAAGCGGAAAAAGGATAGTAGGTACTACTTGGTCAATAAAAAGGAGTGTGGCTTAAAAGAAGCCTGTTCTTTACTGTTCCCCAGTTGTTTTGCAACTGATAGCTTTGTCGACGGTAGGCTTGGACTTCTATCACCTCCACCTATCCACCAAAATTTCGTATACGAGGGCACTATTTTTTGCTAGTTATCTTGTATACAGACATTTTTGGCTTGCATATCAAATATATAAAGGAGTTCCCGAGATAGAAAAAAGGTTAACCTTTATAAAACCACCCTGTTGATTCACCTCACTACAGGTTACTACTCTTCAGTATTGAAAATAGGCTTTTCTTTTCGTCAGAAAATTTGGTCCAAGTAATCGTTGGAAAGAGTTGTCTGTTTAATTATAATGGAACCAGATCATAGCAAGACATGTCTAAGAGAAAAAATATATATATATATACAAGTAGTATATTATTTAAAAAGATTTATTTTTAAAATTATTAAATAATTTTTTAAAATAAATTTGAATTATATAAAAAAGATTAAAACTTATTAATAGTTAAAAAATTATTACTAGTTATATAATTTATGTTATACAAGAGTGTTTTTATAGAGTAATATGGAGGGAAAGATATGAGAAATTTGCAGTATGGGAAGAAAGTAAGGGTATAAGCAGAGCTATCAAGAGGGGAAAAAGACCCAGAGTCAATAGTACTGCCCAAGTAGAAGCTAACTTTGTAGCAGAAAATAAAAGACCATCAAGAAAGTCTGATGCAGTAGAAAATCATCTAAAAAAGCATCAAAAAAGGCAAGCAAAATTGTCAAGAGAAGAAGTCGCGACGTTAAATAGAGGGAAAAGACATAGAAGCTCAGAAGACTCCTTTTTAGATAATGAAGTTGTATCAACAAGTTACCTGAGCAAGAGATGGAAAGTAAATGAAGAGGGAATTGAATTATTAAAGTCAGAAAGACGAAGAATACTCTGGTTATGTTTGGGGAAAGGATAGCTGAAGTTTATAATTTAGCAATGAAAACAATAAGGTTACAAGTCTTAAGTTCATTTCTAGCGAGATGGTGGTCAAAGTAAAGTTGGAAATAATATAAAAAATAAGGTAGCTGAGTACCATGCTATAGCAGGTTTTGAAATGCGAGTATTATTACATGTAGAATCTGTTGGCAAACATCAGTGCGATAACCATTCTTGGGCACTTTTATAGCAGCCGGGTTTTGCCAAATATGTATTTAAATAGATTAATTTTTTGTTAAAAAATTATAATATTCTAATAAATTAGTGTGAGGTTATCAAAGGAAAAAAAAAAAAAATTACTAGTTATATAATAAAAAATATAACTTGTATTATAAGCTTTATATTAGAATAACTAAAAATTATTGCTATTTTTAGTAATTTATATAAGTTCTTTAATTTTTTAACTATACAGTACAGACAACCTAGTCCCAACCAATATAATTGATAAAATTCAAATTGCTAATCCTTTTTTAAAAAAAATAGTAAAAAAAAAATACTATCTTAAAATACTAAATTAAAACAAG